GGTTCTTGTCGAAAAATTTGGTCAATCATATACAATCAAGAGGTCACTCTATAATGAACTGTACTCGACCAAAAAGAATGATCGGGAATGGAGAGTGACAATTGAAAGTATCGAAAGAATACTGCGACAGCTGGAAGCCATGGGCGAGAACCTGGAGCAGTCAAGTATTGAAATAATAGTTGAAAGCAGACTGCCAGCATGGATTCTTGAAAGGATTTATCAACAAAAGGAACAGGAATCATGGTCAGTAAATAAGCTGAGACAATTTCTCGGGAAACTAGTGCTCAGAAGTGAAGAAGTAATGAGGATCCAATCCCTGAATATGACAAAAAATCAAGAACCAGTAAAGAGTAAGTCAAAACCATTTTCACGATTTATCCCTAATGAAACTTCAGCATTATCGGTTAAAACAAAAAGACCCTGCATATTTTGTAATAAAGATCATTGGGATAATGAGTGTCAGGTTTACTCAACAGTAAAACAAAGGACGAAACGTTTGAAGGAATTAAAGGCCTATTTGAACTGTTTTGATAATAGTCACAAGACGACGGATTGTAAAAGCAGAAAATGTTCCTGTTTTTACTGCAAAGGCCCTCACAACACAGCACTATGCGAAGAGAAGTATCAAGGGCATAACGAATCAAATAAAAAAGAATCCAAGTCCGTGAACGTCAATATTACAAACAAAAACCAAATGGATCAAAGGGAAAAAGAAGTTTTACTTATCTATTTACCTATACTTATTTACTTTACCTATGCAGAAAAGTCAATGTTATCAATCCAATTTATCAGGAGATTCGAAGCGAAGCTATAGTACTCTTCGATACTGGTGCGCAAACATCGTTTGTATCAAAAAAATTGGCGCAAAAATTGAAATTAGAGGTTGATGAAAGTGGAGTCATGAGGATTGCCTCATTCAGCAACAAATACTCAACTTCATCTCCGTACTATACAACGGTTATTGGAGTAAAAACCACTGACTCCCAGACCATATTCCTCAAAGTGAAGGTGATAGAATATTTAACCAACTCACTGCCGGTAATTCCATTAGACCAACTGGACATACCAAGTATCTCGAGTCAAATTCAATTAGACAGAAGTTTAAGATGCGTTGAACGTCGATATACTCATCGGAGCTGACTACTTCTCTCAGTTCATCCCATTTAAACAATGGCAAGTTATAAGATCAGGATTTTCCTTGATAAATACTAAGGTTGGTCCGATATTAGCTGGCAGTGGAGATGCAACAAGGCCACCTAAATTCACTGGAGTGACAACTATATCAAACTGTAAAGATATTACGCCAACATCCGAATGGCCACAAAGAACACCAACAACTGTATCCGTCAATAGTATTGCCACAGACATAGATCGCTTCTGGAAATTAGGAAATTATCGGAATACAGGACAAACCTAATGACGAAGATAACGAACAAGCCTTAAACCAATTTAAGGATAGCATTACGAAAATCAATGGACGGTATCAGGTGTCATGGCCATAGAAAGAAACAAACCTCAAACTAAACGGCAATTTTGGTTTGTGTCTAGGTAGGTTACAGTCATTGATCAGACGACTTCAAAATGACAAAGATTTGTTACGAAAATACAGTGAAACAATCAATGAACAATTACAATCTAACATCATCGAAGAAGTAAATAACGAAACAAATCAAGATGGTATTATCCATTATCTACCACATCATGAAGTCGTAACTCCAAACAAATCTACAACGAAACTGAGAATCGTCTATGATGCCTCAGCACA